GGTAAGCTCAGGTGTCGTAGATTGGTGGTTGAAGCTATTTCAGAAGCGTTCGTGGTACTGTTAGCATTTGTAGACAGCACGTCTGCTAGCACGGCTGCTGAGATAGTGATGGTAGGAGTGTTGGGAGCTGGAGAGGGAAATACCTCTGTTTGTGCCATCTGGGTCTTGGGTGGTTCTGCAGTCTGTGTTGAAATCGGCCTCATGGTCGTCCTGGTGGTAGTCTCCGGAGTGGTAGTGGAGGCAGTGAGACTTGCGCCAGGGGCTATGATGGGGGCCAGGACATTGGCTAGGTATAATGTGTTCAGTTCACTGACAAAACGATGGATGTCTGGTACGGCAAGCCTCTCCGCTAGTCTAATAAGACCAGGGATAATGCCTGCACGTGATTCAGGGGGCTGTGAAGGAGCCTGTGGGGCCTTGGGTCCCTATCGTGAAGGCTGGGTCGCCTGGTTGGAGAAGCCATTCTTTGGTAAGATTGGAAAGTCTTTTGGTCGGTTGGTGGGAGCTGAGGTGGTGGGTTGAGCGCCTGGGACTCTGGTTGTGGAGGTAGAAGGGTTGTTTCTCTTGGTTTCAACCTGTGCCATGATGTTTTCCTGTCTGCGGGGGCAGCGGTAGGAAATTGCAGGGTGATTGCCATCACAGAGCAAGCAGCGATGGATTGTTGCCTTGCATATGGAGTAGTGATGGTCCAGTGCGCACAGGCTGTACTTCTGGACGGGGTGCTGACACCTGTTGGTCGGGTGGGAGAGCTCATAGCACTTGAAGCACTGCTAGATCTCATGGCATAGGATTAAGGCATATGGGGGATTAAATAATAAATAGGATAGGTGTAGCATGTTTTGAGCAGAGGATCTTTTATTTATAAGCAGTGTAAATATTGAGGCATGTAACGTATACCTGTGACGTGATTGATAGTTGTTGTGGTTGAAATAAAGCCATACAAAGAACAAGTTTGTTTCTCTTCCGGCCTAAATGTAACACCGACCCCAGATTTCTTACCCAGCTTCAGCATGTTCTGAGCTTTGATTAGAAGCTTGTAACACCTCCAGATCCATACCCCCTTCCCTATAACACCTGCTCAACACCCGTCAGTAAGGCCCTTCACCTTTTAATGTACTTACCAGACTGTTGAACAGATGTTCATCAATGGACACAAAAATCTGAGTGTTATGCCTTAATATATAATAATAATAATACTTATACTTAAAACACTGCCACCACCACCCCTTGTATCCGCAATGTGTGACTCCTTACTAGCCTCCCAGGGAAGGACAGAGTCCAGTAACTATGAACTCGAAGGGCATAAGACATCTGGGACATTAACACGTGGAATAAATAGGGAATAAATAAACAAGTGAAATAAATAGGGAAAATTAGCTAAACACCAAAATAAATCAATATGAACTCTATTTAATTAAAAGACCCTAATATATTCTAATGCTAATACACCCTATCTCGAGGCAAATGGGTGCAATTATTAGATGTACATAACAATTCAGCAACACATTACCTATTACTCTGCAATTTCAGCCAATGATGTTGATAGCTCTACTACTGAGGTCTTGGTGGACCACCCCAGTTCACTATCCCAAATCACATTAACTAAAATTAAGTTCGACAACCTCCAAATGGAGAATGGCCCCACTCACTAACTCTTCTAAGCCACCTAAGCCACGCCCCCTAACAGTGGTCTAATCCAGTCATTTCAGACCTTGCCTTAAGTCTGGCACTCTGATATATCAGTGCCCAGCCTCTCTTTGGTCTTCCACCAATCCGCGGCCTCTAGCTGGGGCACCCTTAACTCTACCCAATCAGAGCCCTGGGTCAACTTGGTCTACTCGAAAAGGTACATTTCTTCCCGTAGAATTGTGTCAGCTTGTACACCGGCTGCAAGGAGAAACAAGGCCTGTTTATTCTATATGACACAAGACAGACCCCCTGGACAAGACCTCCAGAGGTAACACGAGGACGAGCGTATTCATAGTATGGTTGATTAATGTAACAACACTTGTCCCTGGCTATGGAGGAACAGTCACTTGACTTGAGTGGCGTGTAGCCTAGGGGAGAGGGAAGATGAGGCAAAGGGGGAGGGAGGGGGGAGACGAACAAGCAGAAGGGGAAGGGGGGGATGAAACCAAGGAAGGGGGGAGATGGGAGGGGGCAGCGGTCGACTACAGTTTGACCGTTACATGGAGTTCCACTGGGGCTGCCGAGCGGTGTGGACGTGTTGTTTGCCCGCTCCAGCAGTTTTGGTGTGGGTGTCTCTACCCTCCCTGCTGTTCCTGGTGGTGGTGTTTACGATGGGCTGCCCTATTCCGGCTGTCGTGTGGCTAAACTCCATAGGATTGGAGTTTACTAGCCGTGCTGGTTACCCGTTGGTGGACTTGGTCGTCAGTGACATGTTTCACATCCTGGTACAGGATGTGTATGGTGTCGAGTTGGTAACTGCTCGCCGTGTCATCATTAAGTTTTTGGGTGAGGCGGTGTACCGTGTGTTTCTCCGGAAGTACGAGGGACGTACTTTGCAGCTGCAGGATGGCGCAGGGTCTGTGACCATTTCGGACCGTAGTGGAGCTGCAACTTATGTCAGTGTACATGGCGCCCCCATGGAGTTTCCTGAGGATCTCCTGCGGCCATTCTTCCGGAGGTACGGCTTCGTCGTCAGTGTGTGGATGAACTCGCTATCGTCTGGCACATATTCCGGTGTGAAGACCAACATTCGGACCCTCGGGATGCGACTGAGGTCGGACATTCCGTCCTCTATCCGGCTGTTGGGGTACTACGTGCGGGTATTTTATGCCCGGCAACCCTGTACTTGCTTCCGGTGTGGCTTGTTGGGGCATCAGGCTGCCGGGTGTACTGCTGATCCGGTCGCTCCTGTGAACTTGTTCCGTGAGGAGGATTTCCCGCCGCTCCCTCTGGAGGAGGACTCCAGGGGTGAGGAGGTGAGCGTCCCGTTCGCTGCTGAGGCTCCCCCAGCGTCACCCGACGTTCCCCCGGTTGTTGCAGACCCTCCTCCGGGTGTTGCGGTGCCGTCGGATGTTCCTCCTGACCATGTCTCTGGCCCTGCCGTTCGCGTGGACCTTCCTGGTGATCCCTGTGGAGCGTCGCCGTCTGCTTCCTCGTCTTCGGTTGTGGAACCTGGCCCTGCATCCTCCCCTCAGGTCCCTCCTGTGCTGGGTGCTGGGGTGGCTGCGGAGCCTCCTACTGTGTGTGGTCCGGTTCCCCCTGTGGTAGAAGCTGCTGCCGTTCTGCGTCGGGCGTCGGTTCATCTGGCTGGTGGTGCCCGTGTTTCTGGGTCTGCTTCCGGCTCTGACGATATTCGGCCAGAGCCCAAACGTTCCAGGCGTTCGTTGTCCGCCTGGGCCGATGTTGGGGATTTTACTGACTGTGGATCCTCGGATGTGGACGGTGTGGGTCCGAATGCACAGTTGGCTCCACGGTTAGTGGAGGTGGAGGTCCATGCACCTGCTGGTGACGGTGGCTGTGTCTCGCGTGCGCCTTCTGCTCCTCCACTGGAGGGCTCTCCGCGGTGGGGGGGGTGGTGGCTTCCGCTGCCAGGAATGGTGAGGATGTTGGTGCTGGGCGTGGCCTAGTGGTGGCTTTGCGGAAGGATCCACGCCGATCGGATTCCCGGCTGTCGTCTGACGGTGTGCCCGTAGCTGCTGGTGCCCCTGTGGTGGTGCCCTCTGTGCGGGTCTGTGCTCGGAGGATGTGCATTGGGTACCTGGGGGACGTGTTGCTGGAGTCTGCGTTGCCGCAGAGTCACTGGAAGAGGATTGCTACGTTACCGTTGTACGAGGATCCGCGGAACTTTCGTGACGAGCCTGTCTTCGCGTGGGAGCGTGTGCCGATCACTCGCTTCCGGTGTAATACCATTTGGATCCCCTGTTTGCGGATATTTGTTGCCGGGGTTCCGGACGAGATGGCGGCCCTGGTGGATGGTCTCGACCCTTGGCGGTGGTTGCACTGGGAGGCGTTTCATGTCCGGTTCCCTAGGAGTTTATTTTCGGACAAGTATGTCTCCTGATTTCCTGACTTCTGTGTTTCCTCTTGTCCTGTGTGCCCTTATGGCTGCTTGTTTGCCCTTGTGTAGTTTGTGCCCGTGCCTCCCCCTTTGTTTGGGGCGTAGCAGGTTGTTTGGTGTGAGTTTTTCTTTGTGTATTCATTTATTGTGTTATTTCTTTGCCCTATGTATTATATTCGTGCTTTAAGTGTTGTGATTGTTTGTTGTATGTTGTGACTTTTTATGTATTTACCTGTTGTTCATAATGTTGTGCGTTGTTGTCGGTCCTTCCGGCTGGTGAGATTGTTTTGTTTTGTTTTTTCCTGCTAAATGCTTTATAATGTTACTATGTTTTATTGTTTTCTTTGCCGTGCTTGCCTGTTTATATATTGTTTACTGTTTTGTCTTGCTGTGTGTATCTCATGCCTCCATTGTTACCTTCTCCGGTTATGATAATTGTTGTGCTGGGCTGTCGGTCCTTCTGGCTGGCGGTGTCTTGTTTGTTGTGTACTGTTTCATTTATTGTTTTATTGTATTTATTGTTTTTCCCTTGCATGCTTGCAAGGGAAAAACAAGCATGTAAAATTGTACAAAAATTGTAAAAATTTTACAATTTAAAATTGTAAAATTTTTACAATTTTAAATTGTAAAAATAAAAAAAATAGAAAAAAAAGTTTGACCGTTACAAGCTTAACATCAATTGTTTAGTGAGTAGATCATACCTGTGGTGTGTACTGGCTGTTATAGAGCTGTTACTGAATGCCCACTCGATCTGTTCACTTGATTTGACACAACATATACAATATGCTACTTTTCATAGTACCCCTTATTTTGTACCTTGGGACGGTAGTGAACAAAATGAGGCACATTAGGTGAGAGGGCGGGGTTGATCCACTGTGGTCTTTGAATATAGTCTATGTTTACATTTCGTAATTGGTGTGATTAATGACAAATCAGAAAAGTTAAAATATAATTTTATTGAATACAGGTTGACTAAAGATTTATGTAAACATGAAAAATACTCCAGTGAGAATTAATTCAACAATTTCAGAAGTTAAACACGTTTATAGTTTTGTGATAGACGAGGTGTGTGTGCGCGCTGAGCCACAGGTGAACTTGATGACGGAGTTGACGCAGCTCTCGCACTGCACCTCGCAGCACCACCTGAAGCTACAGTTGCAGGAGGTAGTTACCGTCGAGACGGCCTTAGTAACTGGTCGGCCACACTCCCTACACAGCCTCCGGCACGACCTCCTCTCCTCCAGGGTCACGTTCTTTCCCCGCTCCCTCGAACACTGGCGTCCTGCTGTTCCCGCCCAACCTGACGAAGACCACCACTCAGATGGTTGATTAACATTGTTTTATAAAGGTGTTACACTTGCTCTGGTTTGACTAAGTTGTTAAAGATTCGCAACCTGGAACAAAACGTTCCACGTAACAAGGGCTATGGTGAGCCCGTAGTGCCTTTTGAACAGCTGTAAGAATTATAATGATATGGCTGAACACACTAATATATACTATAAACGAGAATGTAAATATGTCTCTTTGTCCAAAGAGGGAGGCCAGACACTTAGGGCTAGTCTCACATAAATTGGCAGAGGAAATGGTCTGGGGAACAGGATGAAGATAGGATGTTTGGGGTCACCACAATTCACAGAACAGCGTGCCAGGGTCACATTCAAACTCTCACGACGGTTTTTGGCACTGCCCACCAGTTACACAGCTAAATTATTTCAATACAAACTTTTGAAATTTGTTTTTTCTTCATATAATAATGTACTCCATTATTCACCGATCTCAGGAAAATGAACAGAAATTTCCTGCAGTCAATTATTTGTCCGTACAGGCACTACCCAGATGATCCTCACACACCTTCACGTGTTTCACAAGTCAGGCACATTCCTCAGATTAAAGGGGTAGCTATTCTCTTTTTTAGTATTTCACATCCCTAAGCTCCTCTCACCGGCGACCACCCACATATTAGACAATCATATATTTTATAAGAAAGAGAGGCAGTCAGATAGAGACAGACAGCGGATAAATGATGGATAGATAGATGGATAGACATAAATAGATGGTGTGGGAAGTTTCTCACAGCAATCATCAATTCTAATACAACAGACAGAAAATAAAATGCTGCTGTTTTGTATTAATTCAAATATAAATTAAATACTTTTGTGTATTTATTTATACAAGAGTTCGTACATTCTTGTAAAGCCACTAGCACACATAGCGGACCTGCCCTTTTCGGCCAGGTCCGCTATGTGTGCTAGTTGTCGGAAATATATATATATATATATATATATATATATATATATATATATATATATATATATATATATATATATATATATATATATATATATGTCGTACCTAGTAGCCAGAACGCACTTCTCAGCCTACTATGCAAGGCCCAATTTGCCTAATAAGCCAAGTTTTCCTGAATTATTATATTTTCTCTAATTTTTTTCTTATGAAATGATAAAGCTACCCATTTCATTCTATATGAGGTCATTTTTTTTTATTGGAGTTAAAATTAACGTAGATATATGACCGAACCTAACCAACCCTACCTAACCTAACCTAACCTATCTTTATAGGTTAGGTTAAGTTAGGTAGCCGAAAAAGTTAGGTTAGGTAAGGTTAGGTAGGTTAGGTAGTCGAAAAACAAATAATTCATGAAAACTTGGCTTATTAGGCAAATCGGGCCTTGTATAGTAGGCTGAGAAGTGCATTCTGGCTACTAGGTACGACATATATATATATATATATATATATATATATATATATATATATATATATATATATATATATATATATATATATATATATATATATATATAACTGAAAACTCACTCTCCAGAAGTGACTCGAACCCATACTGCCAAGAGCACTATGCAACTGGTGTACAGGGCACCTAATCCACTCGACCATCACGACCGGACAAAAGCTAATGGTAGCCGAGGCTATTTGCCCATCAGCCCGCCGGCACTCTGATGGTAAGCTTGAACATAGTATTTTATCAAATCACCTCATTCTTTGGGGCACACGTGAGGAACACAAATGCGAACAAGCCTGAATGGTCCCCAGGCATGCATGCAACTGAAAACTCAGTTGCATGTATGTGACTCGAAATGGGGTCGAGTCACTTCTGGGGTGTGAGTTTTCAGTTGCATGTATGCCTGGGGACCATTCAGGCTTGTTCGCATTTGTGTTCCTCGCGTGTGTTCCAAAGAATGAGGTGATTTGATAAAATACCGTGCCCAAGATTACCATCAGAGTGCCGGCGGGCTGATGGGCAAATAGCCTCGGCTTTTAAGTTGACTTCCCCATTTTTAATCCTTTTAAACCAAACTTTCTTTTCAAATATTGGTATTATGGTCATGGTTATCCATTTTGGGTCATTATTATTCGACCTAATTAATTTGCATGATATACCACATTCCAGAGCTTTGCTTACAATATTTTTAAACAAGTTATATTTAGAATGTACATCGCAAAACCTTGTTACGTTACCCATTGCTAGGTTCACGTCTCCTCCAAGACCGCCTACCTCCCATACCCAGGACTGTCCAACCTATCCTTCCCAAGAAATTTCTTAGTTCATTAAAATCGACTTTTCGGAAACCTGGCAACTTAACAGAATTATCTCCAACACATCTATTCCAATTCCATGCTAAATCTGATTTTCTTGAGACCACTGTTCCCCGGCTCACTCCCTATCTCCTTATGATCACTGTTCCCCGGCTCACTCCCTATCTCCTTGTGATCACTGTTCCCCGGCTCACTCCCTATCTCCTTGTGATCACTGTTCCCCGGCTCACTCCCTATCTCCTTGTGATCACTGTTCCCCGGCTCACTCCCTATCTCCTTGTGATCACTGTTCCCCGGCTCACTCCCTATCTCCTTGTGATCACTGTTCCCCGGCTCACTCCCTATCTCCTTGTGATCACTGTTCCCCGGCTCACTCCCTATCTCCTTGTGATCACTGTTCCCCGGCTCACTCCCTATCTCCTTGTGATCACTGTTCCCCGGCGCACTCCCTATCTCCTTGTGATCACTGTTCCCCGGCTCACTCCCTATCTCCTTGTGATCACTGTTCCCCGGCTCACTCCCTATCTCCTTGTGATCACTGTTCCCCGACTCACTCCCTATCTCCTTGTGATCACTGTTCCCCGGCTCACTCCCTATCTCCTTGTGATCACTGTTCCCCGGCTCACTCCCTATCTCCTTGTGATCACTGTTCCCTGGCTCACTCCCTATCTCCTTGTGATCACTGTTCCCTGGCTCACTCCCTATCTCCTTGTGATCACTGTTCCCCGACTCACTCCCTATCTCCTTGTGATCACTGTTCCCTGGCTCACTCCCTATCTCCTTGTGATCACTGTTCCCTGGCTCACTCTCTATTTCGATGTCATTAATTTGTGTCTCCCTGTTAGTTAACACCAAGTCCCTAATATTATTTTCCTGCATTGGTTTCTTAATGGCCGTTTCAAGCGTTGGTTAGACATTTATATTAATTAGTTTGGGTAGATATATATAAGATTTGCCTCATATTGGCCAATAGGCCTTTTGCAGTTTCCCTAATAAATTTTTATGGAATTTATGGCCTTGATATAGGTATGCTGGGATTAAATATTTAACGGTTTAAGGGCTGTGGAATTCGGGGTATAGCAGTGGAAATGTGGAATATAGTACCAGTGGATGGTCTCACCTTCAGTGTAGTTGGGAAGTGGAATGTAGTACCAGTGGATAGTCTCACCTTCAGTGTGGTTGGGAAGTGGAATGTAGTACCAGTGGATAGTCTCACCTTCAGTGTGGTTGGGAAGTGGAATGTAGTACCAGTGGATAGTCTCACCTTCAGTGTGGTTGGGAAGGCAGTAGTCCGGTGAGTCAGCAAGGTACACCAGGCGTCTTGGGTCTATGTTGGGTATAGACATGCCTTGGCTCTGAGGCGTCTCTTCCAGAGAGCTTGTGGCTGCGGTTAGAGCGTTGGAGTCCTTCAGCTTGAGAGCGCGTCGGTACCACTTCTTAAGGGCGCTTCCCACGCTGGTGAAACTTACTAGGCGGAGCCAGCAGGTCTGGGTGGTGCAGGAGCCGGAAACACCATGACACTTGCACGACTGACGCATTGATCTCTTCACAGCCTAGTGAGAGACGCCATCAGGTTGTGATCTTTTAACATTTATTAACTCAGTTATATACAAATCAATCAAACTAGAAAAATATTACAAAGTATCAAGAAATAAAACATTTATTTAGAAGAAAACATTGTGCATTTGATGACCAATACACATCAGAAGTTGTAGAAATGACTGTTTCGGTCCGTCCTGGACCATTATCAAGTTCGTATGTGACATACGACTTGATAATGGTCCAGGACGGACCGAAACGTCGTCGTCCCTTCACCTTCTGGTTTGTGGTTCGCTCATCATATCATCAGCCTCGCTATCGTGACTCATTGTCTCCATATTGTGCATTTATATAGTAGACTTACAAGTCTGCCCGCCTCATTGTTGTGGAGGTTGACAAGAGCCTGGTGATCTTGGCCCACATCCACGGCGTCTAGGAGTTGTCTCGTCATGTGGGCGCCGTAGTTGACGCTCTCGGGGCAGCCCCGCCACCCCCAGTCTCGGCCCCGGTCCGCTGTGCTCCGGGAGCAGGAACACCCCTCCAGGAGCCCCCGGGAGCAGTTCCTGGCTATACTGAAGGTGACGGCAGCCGAACTGATGGCCTGCACGAACGCGTTCTCTCTTGTCATTGGTTTCTTCATGTGCCTAATGCGAAGATATGAATAATAAACAATATATATATATATATATATATATATATATATATATATATATATATATATATATATATATATATATATATAATCTTGGGTTAATAATAAACCCAAGATTACCAACAGAGTGCCGTCGGGGGGATGGGGAATTAGCCTCGGCTACCATTTTGTCCGGTCGTATTGGTCGAGTGGTTAAGGGATCCTGTACATCAGTTGCAGTGCTTCTGGCAGTATGGGTTCGAGTCACTTCTGGGGTGTGAGTTTTCAGATATATATATATATATATATATATATATATATATATATATATATATATATATATATATATATATATATATATATGTCGTACCTAGTAGCCAGAACGCACTTCTCAGCCAACTATGCAAGGCCCGATTTGCCTAATAAGCCAAGTTTTCATGAATTAATTGTTTTTCGACTACCTAACCTACCTAACCTAACCTAACCTAGCTTTTTCGGCTACCTAACCTAACCTAACCCATAAAGATAGGTTAGGTTAGGTTAGGTAGGGTTGGTTAGGTTCGGTCATATATCTACGTTAATTTTAACTCCAATAAAAAAAAATTGACCTCATACATAATGAAATGGGTAGCTTTATCATTTCATAAGAAAAAAATTTGAGAAAATATATTAATTCAGGAAAACTTGGCTTATTAGGCAAATCGGGCCTTGCATAGTAGGGTTAGAAGTGCGTTCTGGCTACTAGGTACGACATATTATATATAAATATATATATATATATATATATATATATATATATATATATATATATATATATATGTCGTACCTAGTAGCCAGAACGCACTTCTCAGCCTACTATGCAAGGCCCAATTTGCCTAATAAGCCAAGTTTTCATGAATTAATTGTTTTTCGACTACCTAACCTACCTAACCTAACCTAACCTAACTTTTTCGGCTACCTAACCTAACCTAACCTATAAAGATAGGTTAGGTTAGGTTAGGTTAGGTAGGGTTGGTTAGGTTCGGTCATATATCTACGTTAATTTTAACTCCAATAAAAAACAATTGACCTCATACATAATGAAATGGGTAGCTTTATCATTTCATAAGAAAAAAATTATAGAAAATATATTAAATCATGAAAACTTGGCTTATTAGGCAAATCGGGCCTTGCATAGTAGGCTGAGAAGTGCATTCTGGTTATTAGGTACGACATATATATATAAATATATATATATATATATATATATATATATATATATATATATATATATATATATATATATATATATATATATTATTAAATATGACCGAAAAAGTAAGATTAATAATTCTAACACGAATTTTATCGATCTTTCTCACGTTTCTTTTCACTGTTGATGGTAATTCAAAGATCAATTCTCCAAAATTCATTTTTATTTCTAGTCTGACGCGACACTTGAGCGCGTTTCGTAAAACTTATTACATTTTCAAAGACTTCAGTTTACAAACACACAACTGAAACTGAATAGAGCTTACACATCTTCGATTTTATATCTACATTTGGGAGAGGTGGATGAGGTGAAAACAAACTTTCAACAATGGGTACTGAATGGGTATTAAATTCAAACACAAGACAGAACACGAAACAATGGGTATTGAATGGAAGTAATTGTAGAAAGCCTATTGGTCCATATTCCTTGATGCTTCTATATTGGAGCGGAGTCTTGAAGTGGGTAGAATATAGTTGTGCATTAATTGGCTGTTGATTGCTGGTGTTGATTTCTTGATGTGTAGTACCTCGCAGACGTCGAGCCGCCTGCTATCGCTGTATCTATCAATGATTTCTGTGTTGTTTGCTAAGATTTCTCTGGTGATGGTTTGGTTGTGGGAAGAGGCTATATGTTCCTTAATGGAGCCCTGTTGCTTATGCATCGTTAAACGCCTGGAAAGAGATGTTGTTGTCTTGCCTATATACTGAGTTTTTTGAGGCTTACAATCCCCAAGAGGGGATTTGAAGGCATAGACGACGTTGGTCTCTTTTAAAACGTTCTGCTTTGTGTCTGGAGAGTTTCTCATGAGTAGGCTGGCCGTTTTTTTGGTTTTATAGTAAATCGTCAGTTGTATCTTCTGATTTTTGTCTGTAGGGATAACGTTTCTATTAACAATATCTTTCAGGACCCTTTCCTTCGTTTTATGGGCTGTGGAAAAGAAGTTCCTGTAAAATAGTCTAATAGGGGGTATAGGTGTTGTGTTAGTTGTCTCTTCAGAGGTTGCATGGCGTTTCACTTTCCTTCTTATGATGTCTTCGACGAAACCATTGGAGAAGCCGTTGTTGACTAGGACCTGCCTTACCCTACAGAGTTCTTCGTCGACTTGCTTCCATTCTGAGCTGTGGCTGAGGGCACGGTCGACATAAGCGTTAACAACACTCCTCTTGTACCTGTCCGGGCAGTCACTGTTGGCATTCAGGCACATTCCTGTTTGTTTCCTTAGTGTAGACTGCAGTGTGGAAAACTCCGCTCCTTTCCATGACTGTTACATCTAGAAAGGGCAGCTTCCCATCCTTCTCCATCTTGTAAGTGAAATGCAACACAGAATTCTGCTCAAATGCCTTCTTCAGCTCCTGCAGATGTCTGACATCAGGTACCTGTGTAAAAATGTCAACATACCTGCAGTATATGGCCGGTTTCAAGTTCATGTCGACTAAGACTTTTTGCTCGATGGTACCCTTGTAGGAGTTTGCAAACAGGACACCTAGGGGAGAACACATGGCGACCCCATCTACTTGCTTATACATGTGTCCATCTGGGCTCAAGAAGGGTGCCTCTTTAGTACACGCTTGGAGTAGTTTCCTTAGACTGCTTTCTGGTATGTCAAGAGGAGTACAGGCCGGAACACGGTACACTCTGTCGGCTATTATCCCGATTGTTTCATCCACAGGTACGTCGGTAAACAGAGATTCTACGTCCAACGAGGCTCCTATCCCTGTGGTCCGTGTTCCCCGCAGCAAGTCAACAAATTCCTCTGGAGACTTCAGGCTGAAGGCGCAAGGGACATAAGGAGTCAGCAAGCCGTTGAGTCGTTTCGCCGGTCTGTACGTGGGTGTGGGTATCTGGCTGATGATTGGCCGAAGTGGGTTTCCAGGCTTGTGTGTCTTGACATTTCCATACGCATACCCAGGTTTATATTCCCCAATAATCTTTGGCAGGTGGAGTCCAGATTTCTTGGCGTTCACAGTTTCGATCAATTTGTTGACCTTTGCTTTCAGTTCGGCTGTAGTGTCCTTCGTTACTCTTTGGAATTTAGTTTGGTCAGAGAGTATGGGGTTCATTTTCGCCAGATATTCGTCTTTTTTAAGAATGACGTTTTTAAGACGAATATCTGGCGAAAATGAACATCATACTCTCCGACCAAACTAAGTTCCAAAGGGTAACGAAGGACACTACAGCCGAATTAAAAGCAAAGGTCAACAAACTGATCGAAACTGTGAACGCCAAGAAATCCGGACTCCACCTGCCAAAGATCATTGGGGAATATAAACCTGGATATGCGTATGGAAATGTCAAGACGCACAAGCCTGGAAACCCACTTCGGCCAATCATTAGCCAGATACCCACACCAACGTACAGACTGGCGAAGCGACTCAACGGCCTGCTGACTCCTTATGTTCCTTGCGCCTTCAGCCTGAAGTCTCCAAAGGAATTTGTGGACTTACTGCGGGGCGCATGGGCCATAGGGATAAGAGCCTCGTTGGACGTAGAATCGCTGTTTACCAACGTACCTGTGGACGAGACAATCGGAATGATAGCCGACAGAGTGTATCGTGATCCAGCCTGTACTCCTCTTGACATGCCAGAAAGTATTCTGAGGAAACTACTCCAAGCTTGTACTAAAGAGGCACCCTTCTTGAGCCCGGATGGGCACATGTATAAGCAAGTAGATGGGGTCGCCATGGGTTCTCCCCTAGGTGTCCTGTTTGCAAACTTCTACATGGGTACCATCGAGCAAAAAGTCTTAGTCGACATGAACTTGAAACCGGCCATATACTGCAGGTATGTTGACGACATTTTTACACAGGTACCTGATGTCAGACATCTGCAGGAGCTGAAGGAGGCATTTGAGCAGAGTTCCGTGCTGCGTTTCACTTACGAGACGGAAAAGGATGGGAAGCTGCCTTTTCTAGATGTAACAGTCATGGAAAAGGGCGGAGGTTTCCACACTGCAGTCTACACTAAGGAAACAAACATAGGAATGTGCCTAAATGCCAACAGCGACTGCCCTGACAGGTACAAGAGGAGTGTTGTTAACGCATACGTCGACCGTGCTCTCAGCCACAGCTCAGAATGGAAGCAAGTCGACGAAGAACTCTGTAGGGTAAGGCAGGTCCTAGTCAATAACGGCTTCTCCAATGGTTTCATCGAAGACATCATAAGAAGGAAAGTGAAAAGCCATGCAACCTCCGAAGAGACAACTAACACAACACCTATACCCCCTATTAGACTATTTTACAGGAACTTCTTTTCCACAGCTCATAAAACGGAGGAAAGGGTCCTGAAAGATATTGTTAATAGAAACGTTATCCCTACAGACAAAAATCAGAGGATACAACTGACGATTTACTATAAAACCAGAAAAACGGCCAGCCTACTCATGAGAAACTCTCCAGACACAAAACAGAACGCTTTAAAAGAGACTAACGTCGTCTATGCCTTCAAATGCCCACTTGGGGACTGTAAGCTCCAAAAAACCCAGTATATAGGCAAGACAACAACATCTCTTTCTAGGCGTTTAACGATGCATAAGCAACAGGGCTCCATTAAGGAACATATAATCTCTTCCCATAACCAAACCATCGCCAGAGAAATCCTAGTAAACAACACAGAAATCATCGATAGATACAGCGATAGAAGGCAGCTTGATGTTTGCGAGGCACTACACATCAAGAAGTCAACACCAGCAATCAACAGCCAATTATTGCACAACTATATTCTACCCACCTCAAGACTCCGCTCCAATATAGAAGCATCAAGAAATATGGACCAATAGGCTTTCTACAAACACTTCTATTCAATACCCATTGTTTCTGTTCTGTCTTGTGTTGATACTTTTAATACCCTATTAATATCCCCTATTGTTCTGTCTTGTGTTAATGCCACATCACCCTTCCCACCTCACTCAAATGTAGATATAAAATCAGAGAAACGCAAGTTCTAATCAGTTGTGTATTTGTGAAGTCTTTGAAAATGTAATAAGTTTTACGAAACGCGCCCGTGTCGCGTCAGACTAGAAATAAAAATGAATTTTGGAGAAGTGATTTTTGATTTACCTCCAACAGTGAAGCGTAATGTACGAAAGATTGAGAAAATTCGTGTTAGAATTATTAATCTTACTTTTTCGGTCATATTTAATAATATATGTCTACAGGAAAGACTGCTACCAAAATATACTAATATATATATATATATATATATATATATATATATATATATATATATATATATATATATATATATATATATATATATATATATATATAACTGAAAACTCACACCCCAGAAGTGACTCGAACCCATACTCCCAGATGCCACGCAACTGGTATGTACAAGACGCCTTAATCCACTTGACCATCACGACCGGACATAATGAGGTGATAGCCGAGGCTATTTGAACCACCCCACTGCCGGCACTCGGATAGTAATCTTGGGCATAGTATTTTACCAAATCACCTCATTCTTTGGGGCACACGTGAGGAACACAAATGCGAACAAGCCTGAATGGTCCCCAGGACAATATGCAACTGAAAACTCACACCCCAGAAGTGACTCGAACCCATAGGTTCGAGTCGAACCTGAATGGTCCTGGGGACCATTCAGGCTTGTTCGCATTTGTGTTCCTCACGTGTGCCCCAAAGAATGAGGTGATTTGGTAAAATGCTATGCCCAAGATTACTATCCGAGTGCCGGCGGTGGGGTGGTTCAAATAGCCTCGGCTATCACCTCATTGTGTCCGGTCGTGATGGTCAAGTGGATTAAGGCGTCTTGTACATACCAGTTGCGTGGCATCTGGGAGTATGGGTTCGAGTCACTTCTGGGGTGTGAGTTTTCAGTTGCATATTGTCCTGGGGACCATTCAGGCTTGTTCGCATTTGTGTTCCTCACGTGTGCCCCAAAGAATGAGGTGATTTGGTAAAATGCTATGCCCAAGATTACTATCCGAGTGCCGGCGGTGGGGTGGTTCAAATAGCCTCGGCTATCACCTCATTATGTCCGGTCGTGATGGTCAAGTGGATTAAGGCGTCTTGTACATACCAGTTGCGTGGCATCTGGGAGTATGGGTTCGAGTCACTTCTGGGGTGTGAGTTTTCAGTTGCATATTGTCCTGGGGACCATTCAGGCTTGTTCGCATTTGTGTTCCTCACGTGTGCCCCAAAGAATGAGGTGATTTGGTAAAATGCTATGCCCAAGATTACTATCCGAGTGCCGGCGGTGGGGTGGTTCAAATAGCCTCGGCTATCACCTCATTATGTCCGGTCGTGATGGTCAAGTGGATTAAGGCGTCTTGTACATACCAGTTGCGTGGCATCTGGGAGTATGGGTTCGAGTCACTTCTGGGGTGTGAGTTTTCAGTTGCATATTGTCCTGGGGACCATTCAGGCTTGTTCGCATATATATATATATATATATATATATATATATATATATATATATATATATATATATATATATATATATATATATATATATATATATGTCGTACCTAGTAGCCAGAACGCACTTCTATGCCTACTATTCAAGGCCCGACTTGCCTAATAAGCCAAGTTTTCATGAATTAATTGTTTTTCGACTACCTAACCTACCTAACCTAACCTAACCTAACGCTTTCGGCTACCTAACCTAACCTAACCAATAAAGATAGGTTAGGTAGGGTTGGTTAGGTTCGGTCATATATCTACATTAATTTTAACTCCAATAAAAAAATTGACCTCATACATAATGAAATGGGTAGCTTTATCATTTCATAAGAAAAAAATTAGAGAAAATATACTAATTCATGAAAACTTGGCTTATTAGGCAAATCGGGCCTTGAATAGTTGGCATAGAAGTGCGTTCTGGCTACTAGGTACGACATATATATATATATATATATATATATATATATATATATAACTGAAAACTCACACCCCAGAAGTGACTCGAACCCATACTCCCACAACTGGTATGTACAGGGACGCCTTAATCCGCTTGACCATCACGACCGGACATAAGGAAGTGATAGCCGAGGCTATATGAACCACTTCCCCGCCGGCACTCGGATGGTAATCTTGGGCATAGCATTTTATCAAATCACCTCATTCTTTGGGGCACACGTGAGGAACACAAAGGATTAAGGCGTCCCTGTACATACCAGTTGTGGGAGTATGGGTTCGAGTCACTTCTGGGGTGTGAGTTTTCAGTTGTATATAGTCCTGGGGACCATTCAGGCTTGTTTGCATATATATATATATATATATATATATATATATATATATATATATATATATATATATATATATATATATATATATATATATATATATATATAAACGATTCACCTGGGGTGAAGAATATAAATACCTTACTTCCCAAACTCAACAGGGATCTCGCTAAGATTACATGACTGAAAACAGAGTAAAGACGCACATGGTGGTGAAGTGAAGGGCAGGGCAGGGCCACCGCTCCCACCTGAACTGTGTCCGGCACTCCTGGACCCCCAGCTGGACGCCGGCCTCCACACTCGCCCTCAGGGGAAGGCCGCCCTGGGGACACAACCACACTGTTATACCTCACTGCCTGTACTGCTGCCAAAGGTAGATTAGTTGTTGCAGGGTTTTACTTAAACGAATTTGAAGGTGTTAATAAAAACATTCGTCTAAGGGTAAATTGCACAGTAATAAAAAATTATTTATCTAGAACAGGTAGTCTTGTGAATACACATATTAGGGTTAGAGGATAGGTTGACTAGTTTAGCAGTTACCAGGGAGAAAGTTATTAAACAAATAGTGAAACTGAAGCCAAACAAATCCCCAGGGCCAGACGAAGTGTTTGCAATGTGAAGTGTGAAGTACCTAAGCAAACATTAGTTGTGGGAGATTCCCAGATAAGGTATTTGGATAGAACGTTTTGTGCTAGAGATAGGGGGAACAGGTTAAGGGTTTGCTATCCCGGAGCTGGCATTGGTGATATTATAAACAACATGAATGATATTATGGCTGGTAATGGGAACAATCCCATTATTTGCATTAGCGTGGGAGGAAATGATGTTGGTCGAGTTAGGAGTGAGGAACTGATTCAGAGGTATAAAACAGCCATAGAGTTAGTTAGGAGCAAGGGAGGAATCCCGATCATATGTGGCATTCTTCCAAGAAAGGGAGTGGGAAATGAATGGATATCGAGGGCTCTTGGTGTCAATTGCCGGCTGGAAAGATATTGCAAATCAAATGCAATATCTTTCATAGACAACTGGGAACACTTCTATGGAAGAAATGAAATGTATGCTCGTGATGGGGTGCATCTATCGAGAGCTGGGGTTGTTGCTGTTGCGAACTCGTTAGAAGAAGTGGTTAGAGGTGTTTGTTTGGGTTTAAACTGTTAGTAGATAGAGGTATGGGAATTGATTTGGAGGAAGGAGGTAATAAAAGTATGTGTTTGTGGGAGAAAGGAATTGGCAAAACGATCAGGGAAAGAGAAGGTCCGCAAAATAACAATTCACTTAGGGTATATTACACTAACAGTAGAAGTCTAAGAAATAAAATTAACGAATTAAATGCTCTTGTCTGCACAGAAAAAATAGATATTATTGCACTTACCGAAACGTGGATGAATGTAGAAAATAGAGAACTATTAGCTGAATATCAAATATATGGATTTAAACTATTTCACACAGATAGATATATTAGACGAGGAGGTGGAGTAGCCATATATGTTAGGGACAATTTGAAATGTAGTCTCAAAGAGGGAATCAAAACAGAGCCACACACAGAAACTATTTGGATTGAATTAAACGAAAAAGCTAATAATATTATAATAGGAGTAATATATAGGCCACCAAATTTAGACAGAATGGAAGCAAAGCATCTATGGGATGAAATATCTAGAGCATCTAGATCTAACAGTATTTATGTCATGGGTGACTTTAATTTTAGCGGAATAAACTGGTTGAACAAAACAGGGAATAGTGAAGCAGAAGATTTTCTAGAATTAATTGACGATTGCTTTCTTACGCAACACATTAAGGAACCAACACGGGAAAATAATATTTTAGATTTAGTGTTAACTAACAGGGAAACGCAAATTAATGACATCGAAATAGGGAGTGAGCTAGGGAGCAGTGATCACAAAGAAATCAGATTTAGCATAGAATGGAATAGACCAGTAGGAGAAAATTCTGTTAAAGTGCCAGATTTTCGAAAAGCGGATTTTAATAGCCTAAGAAATTTTTTGGGTCAAATTGATTGGAAAGTCTTGGGTATGGGGTGTGGGCCGGTCTTGGAGCGAGACATGAACCCAGCGATAGGTGACTTAAATGGGGATTTCGATGTGGATTCAATATATAACTTATTTAAGAATATTCTAAACAAAGCACAGGAACGTTGTATACCATACAAATTGAATAGATCGAATACTAATGACCCAAAGTGGATAACAAAGAATTTGAAGAACCTTATAGGTAAAAAGAGAGCTTGGTACAAAAGGATTAAAAATGGGGAGGTCACTTTAGAACAGGAATTCGTACAACTGGTTAGAAATGTTAAAAAAGAGATAAGGAAAGCAAAAAGAAACTATGAAGTTCGCATAGCAGGGCAAGCAAAGACAAATCCTAAAGGTTTTTTTCAGTTATATCGTACTAAGACTAGGGAAAGGATAGGTCCATTAAAAACTGAGACAGGTCAAATAACAGATAGTGATGAAGAGATGAGTAGCATTTTTAATAAATATTTTGTATCTGTATTTACTAAAGAGGAACTTAACAATATGCCTTCAGCCGAACAAGTCTATGTGGGTGGGGACGAGGACAGGTTGACGAGTTTAGCAGTTACCAGGGAGGATGTTCTTAAACAAATAGTAAAACTCAAACCAAACAAATCCCCAGGGCCGGATGAAGTGTTTGCCAGGGTGCTTAAAGAATGCAAAGAGGAGCTTTGTGACCCACTGTCAACCATATTTAATAAATCAATAGAGTCAGGCAGAGTGCCAGAGTTTTGGAAAGTTGCTAATGTGATACCAGTTTTTAAGAAAGGAGATAGATCACTTGCGTCTAACTATCGACCAATTAGCCTAACGTCTATTGTGGGAAAGTTACTCGAATCTATAATAGCAAATAAAATTCGTCTTCATCTTGAAAAACATAAATTAATAATTGAGTCGCAACATGGTTTTATAAATGGCCGTTCATGTTTAACAAATTTGTTATCTTTTTATTCTAGCATTGTTGAGGCAGTTGATAGTGGTAAGGATTGCGATGTTGTATACCTTGACTTTAGCAAAGCTTTTGATACAGTGCCACATGAAAGACTGATTAAAAAGATAGAGTCTCATGGTATTGGGGGTGCTATATTAAGCTGGATTAGGGCATGGCTATACCAAAGGAAACAGAGAGTTAGTATAAATGGAATCAAGTCAGAGTGGGAAAATGTTGTAAGTGGAGTGCCTCAAGGCTCTGTCCTGGGACCTCTGTTGTTTATAATATATATAAATGATTTAGATTCAGGTTTGAGAAGCAACATTTGCAAATTTGCCGATGATACGAAAATCGGTAGGGAAATTAATTCGGAGGAGGACTCACTATCACTTCAAGTTGATCTAGATAGGGTTTTGAAATGGTCAAAGGATTGGCAGATGCAGTTTAATGCTGATAAATGTAAAGTTCTGAGGTTAGGTAATGATGATAGAGTTACAAGATACGAGCTAGATGGTGTTGTGATTGCGAAGTCGGATTGCGAAAGGGATCTGGGAGTTATGATTAGTAAGAATTTAAAACAAAAGGATCAATGCATAAATGTTCGTAATAAGGCAAATCGGACACTTGGATTTATTAATCGCAGCGTTAGTAACAAGACACCTGGTGTGGTTCTCAAGCTATATCTTGCTCTAGTTAGGCCCCATTTAGATTATGCAGTTCAGTTTTGGTCGCCATATTATAGAATGGATATAAATTCACTTGAACGTGTCCAGCGTAGGATGACTAAGTTAATTCCCCAAATTAGAAATCTTTCATATGAAGAAAGATTAACAAAGCTTAAGTTGCATTCACTGGAAAGGCGAAGAGTTAGGGGTGACATGATAGAGGTTTACAAGTGGATGAATGGACATAACCGGGGGGATATTAATAGGGTATTAAAAGTATCAACACAGGACAGAACACGAAACAATGGATATAAATTGGATAAGTTTAGATTTAGGAAAGACTTGGGTAAATACTGGTTCAGTAACAGGGTTGTTGATTTGTGGAACCAATTGCCGCGTAACATTGTGGAGGTGGGGTCCCTCGATTGTTTCAAGCGTGGGTTGGACAAGTATATGAGTGGGATTGGGTGGTTATAGAATAGGAGCTGCCTCGTATGGGCCAATAGGCCTTCTACAGTTACCTTTGTTCTTATGTTCTTATGTTCAATGATACTTAAAGAATGCAAGGAGGAGCTTTGCATTTTCAAGAAAGGAGATAGATCACTTGCGTCAAACTATCGGCCAATTAGCTTAACGTCTATTGTCGGAAAGTTACTTGAATCGATAATTGCAAATACCATTCGTCTTTATTTTGAAAACATAAATAAAAAAATGACTTACAAAATGGATTTATATATGGCCATTCATGTTTAACAAATTTACTATAATTTTATTCCAGCATATGAAAAGACGACGACGTTTCTGTCCGTCCTGGACCATTATCAAGTCGAAATTGTAATTGAAATAAGTTTATTGAGGTAAAATACACACAAAGGGATGAGGTAGCTCAAGCTATCCTCACCCCATTCAGTACGTGTTCATACATATATTGACACACATCATAAACAATAAACATATTATCGAACATTCTGAGAGATAAACATATACATTTCCTCCTTTACACAAGTATGGTATCAGACGTACACACAAATACTTTTATGACTTGGGTATACTGTCTAGACAATTTGCAAGAGACATTCAACAAAAGATTACAGTCTTGGTGCAAAATTCTTATATCTCTCCAGAAAATCATGAATCTTTCCGTTGTGACACATCCAGGCTATATTATCAAGTCGATGTTTACTGTTCCCCGTGATGGCGTTCTCTCTGCCCTTAGGCAGATGGCGACTGAGTTCCTTCTTCATCTCCAGCTCTCTACTGACGTCTTCCTCGAACTCATCAGACTGTGTTGACTCTAATACCTTCTCTTTCAACGGTAAATACTTCAACGGTAAATACTTCCCTCAAACATTCGGCGTCGCTACCGGTTCCCCTCTCTCCCTTGTTCTAGCCAATCTCTACATGGAATACTTCGAAACCGCTCTCCTTCCCTCTACTGATACTCGTCCCTCTCTCTGGCTTCGCTATGTTGATGACATTTTTGCTTTTTTGCCTCTTGACCTTAGTCTTTTCCAGCCTTTCCTCTCCTCTCTTAACAATCTGGCTCCTTCCGTCCATTTCAAAGTTGAATGGAAATCTAATTTCCTCCTTCCTTTTTTGACGTTCATGCTCACAGCTCTTTAACTAGGCTCTCTTTCTCTGTCTAGCGCAAACCCATGCATAGTGGTATGTATATTCATTTTTCCTACCATCC